TATATTTTATATCTTTTTGTTGATGGTCTCACTGAGAGCCTCCACTCTTTTCTCATGTCCAGTGAGTACCTTTATGACTATTACTTTGAATTTGTTACCAAGCATATTGCTTATATCCGTTTCATTTAGCTCTTTGCTGTGGTTTTGTCCTCTTCTTTCATTTGGGACCCATTCCTTTTTCTCCTCATTTCATCTAACTCTCTGTGTTTGTTTCTGAGTATTAGAAAAGTCAGCTGTGTCTACTGATCTTGAAAATAGTGGCCTTCTGAAGAATAGATCATGTGGTGGTCTGTAGCACAATGTTCCCTGTTTACCACAACCAGGCACTTCAGGGGTGTCCCCTATGTAGGTTGTTTTCACCTTACTATTGTGGCTGAGTCAGGGTTGCCTTCAGTCCAGTCAGCTGCAATGGCCAACTTTGTCTCTTGTGGCAGGGTTTTGTTCCTGTGCCATTAAGGGGCCAGTTTGGGACCTCTGTGGGCTTATAGTTGGGCAGTGTCAGCAGTCATACCAGATGTCTGTCCTCAGTGCATGTGCCAGGTGGCAGGCAAACTGAACTGTGTAGTTCTCTTCCTGTGTTGTCCCTTAAGAGGCTTTAGTTGGTGAGCAGGGTCTGCAGTCAGATCAAATGTCTGCCCCCAATCCTTCTGCTGGGGCTAACAGTCAACACAAACTGGAGGGCCCTCTTCCAGTGCTGACCCTTGAAAAGATTTTGTTGGTGGGCAGGGCTGACAGTCAGATCATGTGTTTACCCCATTCCATCTGCTGCGGCTGCAGGCAAACTGGTGTGTGTTGTTTTCTTCCCCTTTCCCCAGGGAAGAAGTCACTTTGGACTGTTGCTTGTCCCTCCTGGATCTGCTTGCAGGATGTGTCACAGTAGAAACCACTTTGGAAGGATGCTTGCCAAGTGGCATGCTTTGGTTTGGGTAGATTTACAGAACAGAAGGGCAGGGCACAGAGTGTTACCAAGGTAGGTTAAGGGTGTTTGCACTGGTTCCTGCAAGTGTATGTGTCTCTAGACTGGGGAAAGGGGAAATAAATGATGCCTATCAGGTCTTTTGTTTTTGAAGAAGTCTCCTAAAGGTCTCTGCCCCTCCAGCATGTTCTGAGATTAGTAAATAAATTTCCCTCACATATTGTCCACCTGTTTTCAAGCTACTGCTTCTATGCTGTATCTTGGTGTGGTGGTTTGTTATGCTGGGTCTTTAAGGGTGGGGACTCAGTTTCCTATTACCTTCCAGGTTTCCCATAACTAGGCCTGCTGATTTTTAAAGTACCCCTTTTTAAGCCCCACTAACTGTAAAAACTCTGGGAAGTTAAACTTTACTAGTTTTCAAAGCCAAATATTATGGGAACTCATCTATCTAGTGCAACTTCCATGTCTGGGGTCCCTGATGTCTGTTCTTCTCTCTTCTCTGTGTTTGTGGTGCCCTTCCTGTTTGTGGTTAGTCTTGCTGGGAGTTTGGTTCCTGTCCCCATCTCCACCCTTCTACCCTTCTTAATGTATCCTCATCGCTAAGATGAACTGTGGAAAGTCTGTTTTGCCAGTCTTCAAGTAATTTTCTGGGTTGGTTGCTTTGATGTGGCTATTATCTAGGTGTGTCTGTGGGACGAGGTGAGATGAGGATACCCCTACTCCACCATCTTTCCAGAATTCTCTGCCTTTTTTTTCTTAATACATTTTTATTGCATATATCTATTCCCAGTTTTTTTGTTTAGTTATTTATAACCTTACAAAATACTATCAATAATAATTTTTAGGGATTTACTTTTTTTTTTTTTTTTTTTTTACCTAGGTCTATCTTTTATAGGATATAGGATACAGTAATTAGCAGTCAGATTTAGAGGAACATATGTTGAGGTCCAGTCGTGTCCTGAGGGCAGTACCCCATGGAGGTGGGATGTGCTACCACTGAGGACCATGGAAACTTTCACAAACCTGGAAAGTCTTCTAAACTGGTTCTTTGAGAGTGTTTGTGGAGCTCACTTCCAGCAAACTCTCCCTTCCCCAGAGGCTTGTGGGAAGGGTTGCAAGTTCCAATCCTGTAATCTCTTGGTTTTTCTAATGGCAAGCCCCATCCTGAGGCTATATAGGGAAGGGATTTACATTTTTAAATATTACTATTATATTGCTCAGATTCAGTAGAATATCTCTGTGAGCCATCCAGGAAAAGAAATTTCTCTACTGGCTGGAGAGACTAAGCCAATTACTAAGGACATTTTGTTGCCTTCACACAATGGGCAGTGGGGGGGGGGGGGTGCAAGGAGGACCATGTCTAGAACTATGTATGGGGTGATTTTTGTGTTTCCATGCCAAATAATAGAGATTAAAAGAATTACAGCATAATAATAATAATAATAATAATAATAATAATAAAGGCAGTACTATTGTGGACTGAGACCCCTCAGGAATGAAGGTCTGGGTCATCTCAGCAGGTGAAGACCAAGTGGAAGCTGTTTGGCAGCTCCCCTCAGAGACGTGAGCATCTGAGGTCATCCCTCAGACATGTGGTCATCCCTCTTCTGAGTTCCTAGGTTCTGGTAACATCACCTTTCCCTTTTGTACCTAGGGGAAGTGATTTATTCTTGTGGTTGATAATCTCTGGGCTACCTTCACATCCATCTCTTTCTCCTACAGTCTTTTTCAGGACACACTTATATATCTACTTCCCTGTATTAAATCTTCTGGGTTTAAAAATACTAGATGTGACCCAAACTGAAATACCAGTCATAGACTGTAGTCTTTTCCAGACTTAGTCAATCCCTGGACATTGGTATGTGAAGAAATTTAAATTATTGTGTTAAAATTATTCCAGGACCAAATCAAAGGGAAATGAGTGAGACAATGACTTGACATACCAGTGTAGTGATTTTTATTTATATTATAATCAATGATTTTCTTTTGTATTATAATCATACACATAGATTCTTATGATTACTGTAAGATACAGTAGAGGAGGCTAACTTCCCTTGTCCAAGTTAAACAGAGGAATAACATGAGACAGATACAGAGCAGTTAAATGGTATGGAGTTCTCCTAAGAGCTTTACATTCTCAGGCCTTCTTTTATTTTTTATTTTTTTATTAAAAAAATTTTTTTTAATGTTTATTTATTTCTGAGACAGAGACAGAGCATGAGTGGGGGAGGGTCAGCAAGAGGGAGACACAGAATCCGAAGCAGGCTCCTGGCTCTGAGCTGTCAGCACAGAGCCCGACACAGGGCTCGAACTCACAGACCATGAGATCATGACCTGAGCTGAAGCCGGACGCTCAACCGTCTGAGCCACTCAGGCGCCCCTCTCAGGCCTTCTTTTATACTCTCCTCTTTGGCACTTAATATTTCACTAGGGGAAATATTTGAAACATATGCTATCTGAACTTACCCATAACAACAAAATTAACCTTGTTGCATTCATTGTTTAAAAATAAAATTGCAAGTTTCATTTATTCATCTCACACAAATTTGTTAAGTAATTACTATATGCCAGCACTAAGTTCTAAATATACAACAGTGAACAAAACAGATCCCAAATCTTCACATTCTCATGGGTAGAAACAAGCAATAAATTTGTATAACCTTGTCCTTGGCCAACCTTGAAATTCCCTACATAAAATGCCTCCATTTCCTCTGTTATTTGGTCAGCCATTCACACAGATTCATATGCATTTATAATCAAAATCTTTTTGGTTGAAAAGAAGATAATTGGGGTAGTTCACATCCTTGGTGTTTTAGAGACCCAGAGAGCATTAAAAGGTGAGTAACATCATCTTTTGACATCCAAATTCTTCCAACATGGACAAATAGCTGGCAATGTGAATTATCTATAGAAAACAATAATTTTGTATTTTTACTGGCAGTTAAAAATAGTAGATCATAAAGCAACTTGCACACTGTTCCAAGATACACTCATTTCACCTCTTCAAAATGTTATCCTGTTTGGAAATATGATATTTAAGGACAATCATTTATAAATTATTAATATTTTGAAAAAATTTTATAATTTCCTCATGAACAGGATCAAATCATAGGTAGAGGAGTTCCTCATTGGTTATTTAGGACCTGTTGGATTAACTATCTCTGTTTAGGAAATATCACCTACATATCAGGGCTGAGCAACCAGAATCAGTCTTATCTTCCCTGGGCCATACTGGAGAAACAAGGTCACATCAGTTTCAATACTGCTCTTTTTTCTTCATTTCTTTGGCACTCCAATCTGTTGTCACAGTAACTTTATTTCATGATGTAATTAAGTTAGAATATTTATTACTTTAAAATGCAATAACTATCAATGAGTATGATTTTGGTATGATTTTAAGGAGAATCATCTGCTCTTTAGAAACAGTCTAGTTTAATCAATAATATAACAAGAACAAAAATACCTGCTGTGTCATTGCCTTTAAAGATTTTACTGGATGGGTAAATAATGTCTAGTCCAAATTATGTCTGACATTTCCAGATTACAGTGCAGAGACTGATATTTTCACTTGCTCATCTGATTTTCCACCAAGAATCATTGGATACACTTTACATGAACAAGACTGGGAGAGAGGTACAGTGATGTTTTAAGATAGTTCTTGCCTTTAGAGGCTTGTAAGCATTGTAGGGGTGATTAACATATATCCAAGAAAAACTGACATTTGAATAGTGATGTTTAGCCTTCAAGTCATGGACTTTTGCAATCCTCATGCTCTGTGACCATGGTGGAGCAGATATTATTATTCCTAATATGTTGATATAGAAACAAAGCGTCAGATATTTTCAACTTTACTCTGATTATCAGTAGCTTATCTAGGACGTGAACCCAAAATTTCTGTGCTGGCAAAAGGACAATAATGGGTACAAAGTGATGATTTCAATAAGGTGTGTCATAAACTTACTAGATTTCAGACAAGGGGATTTTGTAGCTGGAAAGATCAAAGGTCGCTTCTTGGAGGGGATGAACATTAAGGGATGGACTTCCAAGTGCATCCTAATTGATGACTGCATTCCTCAATATGACCTCACATTGGTTCTGAGGAAATTCTCTTGCTGAATAGTATCCTCAGGGCAGCCTTCATGTCTCTGTTTCTCAGACTATAAATGAAAGGATTTAGCATTGGAGTCACTGCCATGTACATAACAGTCATGATTGCATCCTTTAGGCTGTAACTAGTCAGAGGGCGGAAATATGTGCCCATGACTGTCCCATAATACAGAGAAACAACAGTGAGGTGGGAGCCACAGGTGGAGAAGGCTTTGAGCATGCCCTTAGTTGAAGGAACCCATAAAACTGTGGAAAAGACCCGGACATAGGAGATGATGATGCATAGTAATGGCACAGAGAAAATACCAACCCCTAGGTACATCATCTTCACATTGAAGTGGATGTCAGAACAGGACAGCTTAAGCAAAGGGGTAATGTCACAGTAGAAGTTGGCTACCTCCTTGTTGCCACAGAAGGACAGACTAGCTGTGAGCAGAGTGTGGGGGAGGGCATTGGCGTTTCCAACCACCCAAGATCCAACAACTAGAAGGACACAAGTCTGTGGGCTCATAATTGTTGTGTAATGAAGTGGGCGGCTGATGGCCATGGCACGATCATATGCCATCGCAGCCAGGATATAGCTATCTGTGTTACCCAAGGCAATCATAAAATACATTTGTGTTAGACATCCCCCAAAGGAGATGGATTTGCTGTGCAAGACATGGTTGGCTAGCATCTTGGGGATGGTTACAGAGGAGAATAAGATGTCAACGGAGGAGAGGTTGGCAAGGAAAAAATACATGGGGTTGTGAAGGCGAATGTCAGAGCGAATAGCCAAGATGATGAGCAGGTTTCCAGTCAATGTGATGGGGTAAATGAACAGGAAGAAGATGAAGAAGAAGTCTTCCTGTACCTGCTGACCAGTAACTCCCAGAAGGATGAATTCCAGGGTAGAAGATTGGTTGTCTTCTTTCATGGTTCCTTTATTAAGAAAGGGGAGAAGAATCCAGAATTATTAATGGAGTTTATGTAATGATCTTCCTTATCCATCAGTTTTGATTCAAGTGACTATCAATCTCTACGATGTGTTTACTAAATCCGGAGATAGCCAACATTTTGGGGAAATATCCTTGTTGATTAGTGAAACTGATCAACAATTAACTCTTGACACTCATGTCTAAGAAGTGAACAATCTGTGAATCAAAAGTGGTCATCCTCCCCCATCTCAGAACCATCACTCAAACACCTAGGATTCAATAAATTCACAAATGCCTTTACACTGTATGTGCTGGATATTTTGCTAGACTAATGGAAAAAAGCACAAATATGTGAAAAATACAACTTTTTAGTCCACTTATTCGACATGTAAAACAAAGTCTGTGCTCTCAGGAACTTTACAATGTAATAGAAAAGCCAAAAATAGCACATTTTTAAAATTTCACACTACAAGGAATGGAAAGCACTTAGAAATCTTGATAAAATACTCCAGTACAAAAGATGTGTCATTACAAGGGCCAGCCATGAAATTAGAAATTGTTCCAATGACCAAACTAATAGAGATCCTAGAACCCAGGAAGTAACAGGTGTCTATGCTGACATTGGACTATTGTAAATCACCAGGATCACTGGGTTTTTGTCCTAGCAAAAACAAGCCTAGTGAATTTCCTCCCCAAGCACCTCATTTTCAGAGAAGAATTTCACCATGTCCTTTTACAAGGTATATCTCTTTGAAAAACTCTCTAATATCCATAATCACAAAGCTTTTCACTTCCCTTCCTTTATTATTATTTTTCTCATTTCTGAGTGTATAGCCAAAGGAAATTAAATGGGGTATTGAAAAGATTTCTTCAGTCTCATTTTTATGGCAGCATTATTCACCGTACTGAGCTATGGAAACAACATAAGTGCCCACCAAGAGATGAAGGGATAAAGAAGATATATTCTCTCTCTCTCTCTTCTCATTACATGAAATAAGCCAGACACAGAGACAAACAGTGAATAATCTCACTTCTATGTGTATTTTAGGAAAGTCATAGTCATAGTAACAGTTAGCCATAGTTGATGCTGATCTTGAGAACTTGGGATCTGCAGCCAAGGTTTGAGTCCTAATTTTGCTACTACAACTCTATGTCAACTTAAGTATTCAATTCATCATTTTTCATTTGATAAAGTGACAAAAATAATTCTACTTACCTTTGGAGGTTTTGCGAGGCTCAAAGGAGATAATGCAAGTAGGTCAGTTGCTGGCTATCTATCCTTGATTTGTCACTGTCATAAAGACCCTTTTCCACAACATTCATACCTCCTATTGAAGAGTCAGCTCAGATGCTGTCAAAGGGGTTTTGGTCCTGTGGCCTTCGCTCCTCTTCCACGAGTGGGAAGTTCACAGCCAGCTGCTGAAGCACTTGTGAACATTCCTCCCTGGGGAGGCAGGCATGCTGCAGAAAGGGTCAGTAGTAGGCCTGAAGAGCGGGTCTCTGGTCCTCTGCACTTGAGGTGAAGGAGCTAGGACTTGGATGGTTTGGACAAAAGAGCCTCGAGTTTCCTAATGATAGAGCAGAAGGGATGACTGTTCTAGATGGGCCATGAAGACGGGAACTCTAGCTTCCTCCTCAGGAAGCAAGGTGGTCATAGAATAGAGAAAATTAGGAATTCTTTACCAGGTTATAACATCTCTTGAAACGTGACTCCCTCAGGTCTTCATCCTGGCCGTAGTCAGAGTAATTGTTGAGACTCATTACACACTCCTATGGCTGTGCCCTGAGGAGACAGTGGTTCTCAAGAGTAATCTTTCCCAGAGTTCTTTTCTGGAAGGAAGTATGGGCAAGAGGGTTTCCTAGAGAATGTGTCTCCAGGGTTCAAGCTCTGAGCTGACCTCTTCTAGACACTTTGTTGGCATACGGGCTCCTGGCACCAATTGGAACATCCTGTTGGGTGCTGCAAAGACTGTGGTACAACTGAGTAAAAGAAATAATCAACAAAGTGAAACAATAACCTATGGAAAGGGAGAACATATTTGCAAACCATATATTTGATAGGGGGTTTATAACCAAAATATTTAAAGAACTCATGAAACAAACACACATACAAACAAATTGAATGAAAAAATAGGCAGCAGAACTAAATAGACATTTTCCAAGAAGACACCCAAATGGCCAACAGGTACAGGGAAAGATGATCAGTGTCATCAATCACCAGGGAAATGCAAATGAAAACCACAATAAGGTATCACTTCACACCTGTTGGAATGGCTATTATCAAGAAGACATGCAGTAATAAAGTTGGCAAGGGTGTAGGTGTAGAGAAATGGAAACTTGTATGGACTGTTGGTGACAATGTAAATTGGTGCAGCCACTATAGAAAACAGTATGGAGATTCCACAAGCAATTAAAAATGGAACTACCATATGATCCAGCAATTTCATTAACTTCTGGGTATATATCCAAAGGAAAGGAAACAGGGTATTGAAAAGATATCTTCAGTCTCATAAAATGAGACTATTATATATATTATATATATGTATACATACATATACATACACACACATATATAATGCATTTATTTATTTATTTAAAAAAATTTTTTTAACGTTTTATTTATTTTTGAGATAGAGACAAAACATGAACGGGGGAGGGTCAGAGAGAGGGAGACAAAGAATCCAAAACAGGCTCCAGGCTCTGAGCTGTCAGCACAGAGCCCGACGCAGGGCTCGGACTCACGGACCGCGAGATCATGACCTGAGCCAAAGTCGGCCGCTTAACCGACTGAGCCACCCAGGCACCCCGCATATATAATGCATTTAATGGAATATGATTCAGTCACAAGAAAGAAGCCAATTCTTCCATTTACATAATAACAGTGAAGCTAAGGGATCTCAGTGAAATTAGCCAGATGCAGAGACAAATAGTGAATGATCTCACTTCTATGTGTATTATAGGAAAGTCACAGTCATAGTAACAGAGAGTAGAGGATGGTTTATCAGGGCCTGGGGGTGTGGGAGAGAGGGAGATCAATTTTTCTGTGTGGAATGATCCTGCAATTTTAAGAGTAAATTCCACTTGGTCATGGTGTCTAAACCTTTTAATATGCTGCAGAACTCTGTTTGCTACTGTTTTGTTGAGGATTTTTAGATCATTGTTCATAAGGGATATTGGTATGAAGTTTTCTTTTTTTTTTTTTCTTGTAGTGTCTTTGGTTGTTTTGATATCCTCACAGAATGAGTTAGGAAATTCCTCTCCTCTTCAATATTTGGAAAAGTTTGAGAAGGATTGGTACTAGCTCCCTTTAAATGTTTGTTAAAATTCACCAGTGAAGCCCGTAGGTCCAGGGATTTTCTTTGTTGGAAATTTTTCATTACTGATTTAATGTCCTTACTAGTTATAGGTCTATTCTTATTGTTTGTTTCTTCATGATTTAGTTTTGGTAGGTTGTGCATTTCTAGGAATTTGTGCACATAACCATTCATAATGCTCTTATTATCCTTTTTTAACTATTGAAATGGTAATAATGTCCCCACTTTAATTTCTGATTTTAGTAATTTAAGTCTTTTTTATCTTTGGTCTATCCAGATAATTTTTTGTCAATTTTGTTGATGGTTTTGAAAAACTAACTTTTGGGTTTATGATTTCCTCTACTGTTTTTCTATTCTCCATTTCATTTTTCTCTAATCTTTATATTTCCTTTATTCTGCTAGTTTTGGGTTTTAGCGTGTTCTTTTTCTAAGTTCCTTACGTTGTAAATTTAGACTATTGATGGGAGATCATTCTTATGTTTATTTTAATTTAATTTAATTTAATGTATTTATTTTTAATTATTTAAATCCAAGTTAGTTAACATATAGTGTAATAATGGTTTCAGGTATAGAATTTAATGATTCATCACTTACATACAATGCTCCGTGCTCATCCCAACAAGTGCCCTCCTTAATGTCCATCATCCATTTAGTCCATCACCCCACCCAACACCCTTGTAGAAAACCTCAGTTCATTTTCTGTACTTAAGAGTCTCTTAAGATTTACCTTCCTCTGTGTTTTTATCATGTTTTTTCCTTCCCATCCCCTATGCTTATCTGTTTTGTTTCTTAAATTCCACATGTGAGTGGAATCATATATTTCTCTGACTGACTTATTTCACTTAGTGTAATATGATATTTGCAAACCAACCAAATATCTACTTCCATCCATGTTGTTGCAAATGGCAAGATTTCATTCTTTTTTGATCGTGAGTAAAATTTCAATGTGTGTGTGTGTGTGTGTGTGTGTGTGTGTGTGTGTGTGTCCTCTCCTTTATGCATACATCATTTGGTGGACATTTGGGTTTCTTCCATAATTTGGCTTTTGTTGATAGTCCTCCTATAAACATTGGGATGCATGTACCCCTTTGAATCAGCATTATTGTATCCTTAGGATAAATACCTAGTAATGCAATTGTGGGGTTGTAGGGTAGCTCTTTTTTTAAATTTTTGAGGAACTTCCATACTGTTTTCCAAACTGGTTGCACAAGTTTGCATTCCCACCAGCAGTGCACAAGGGTTCCCCTATCTCTGCATCCTAACCAACATCTGTTGTTTCCTGAGTTGTCAATTGTAGTCATTCTGCCAGGTGTGAGATGGTATCTCATCATGGTTTTGATTTTTATTTCCTTGATGATGAGTGACATTGAGCATCTTTTCATGTGTCTGTTAGTCATCTAGATGTCTTCTTTGGAAAGTTGTCTATTCATCTCTTCTGCCCAGTTCTTCACTGGATTAATTTTTTTGGGGTGTTGAGTTTGATAAGTTCCTCTCTCTCTCTCTCTCTCTCTCTCTCTCTCTATATATATATATATATATATAATGAATATATATATATATTCATCTATTTTTGAGAGACTGAGAGACAGAGCATGAGTGGAAGAGGGGCAGAGAGAGAGAGAGAGAGCGAGAGTGAGGGAAACATAGAATCCGAAGCAGGCTCCAGGTCTGAGCTGTCAGCACAG